AAAACTCGATTTGAGCATTGTATCAACCGTTTTGTTCAATATCCATTTGGACTTGAGAAATCCAAATTGGGCAAAAATCACTCTCTGACCGAGAGGTATTGAGTGGGTACTCGAGTGTTGATAGCTATAATACACCCCGACCAATAAAACAAGCTTTAAAATTTACAAACCGTTAGGCAAATACCTAGGTGAAGGTCATAGCCCTAGGACTTTTACATCATTTGAAAAACAACAATAAAAACACTTTCCTATTTTCGATTCTTAGTTTGTAGTTTTAGTTTAAATTAGACCTAGAAATAACCCAAGTTTGTGGAAGTACAATTTGAGATATTTTAAGCTCATACACTATAATATATACCCTAAGTCCCATTCATAGCTCCCTGTGAAAAATCGACCCCGACTCCTTGTTGGGTATTATTATTGCACCGATCGTTTCATAACCTTAAATAGAGGTGTGACTTGGACGAGATCAACCATCATTCAATAAAGGCAACAAAGAAAGACCAGTTAGAAGGAGAGTCAGTGCAGAAGTATCTTAAGTAAGTTTTCTACGGTGGTTAAGTACTTCTGTTTAACCATCAGTTTGAGGATCGTAAGCAGTGTTCAAAGTGACACCTTGAGCAGTAAGAAATTCTTTCCAAAAACAACTAATGAATTGGGATCTCTGTCACTTATAATAGAGGCAGGAAATCTATGAAGATTGATGAGATTGTCTAGGAAAATAGGGACAAGGGACTGGGCAGTGTAAGGGTGAACCAAGGCAATAAAGCGTGCATATTTGGTTAGTCGATCAACAACGACCCATATACCAGTTTTTCCTCGAGACTTAGGCAATCCTTCGATGAAATCCATTGTTATGTTTGTCCAAGGAAGAGGCACCAGTGTCATATTTGTTCCTTTGACATACAAAACACTTATGGACAAAGTTCATAATATCATTGCTGATTCCTTTCCAATAGAAATAAGTAAGTACCTTCCTTATAGTAGCATTAATACTAGAGTGACCCCCAAAAGGAATGGAGTGCCAAAGTGTGAGTATCTGTTGTCTCAAAGCAACATTATTGCCAACTAGTAGTTTGCCCTTCCTTCTAAGCTGATCATTCACCCAAGTGAAATATTTCTTAGGCTGCTGCTGCAATGAAGTAACAAGAGCCTGCGGTTTAGGGTCTGAATACTAGCTGGCTTGAATGTCCTTCCACAAATCAGCTTGCACTGAAGAAATTAGCATGGCCATCAATGATGCTCCTTGAACTCTGGAAAGGGAATCTGCAGCTAAATTCTCCCTTCCTCTTTTGTATTGGACTTAAAAGTCAAAAGGCAAAAGTTTGGCCCACCACTTAATTTGAGAATCAGTATGTAGCTTCTGCTCCAAGAGATATTTCAGTGCTTTTTGGTCAATTCTGACAATAAAATGTTAGCTGAGATAATAATGTGACAACTTGATCACATGAAAGCCAGAAGTTCTCTTTCATAAACAGACAAGGAAGCATGTCTGGGAGCTAATCCCTTACTAATAAATGCTATAGGGTGATTGTCTTGCATAAGGATAGCACCAATACTAGATCCACTAGCATTAGTTTCAACAACAAATAGTAAAGAAAACTTAGGCAAGGCTAGAACATGTGCATTAGTTAATGCCAGTTTGAGCTCAACAAAGGATTTTGAAACAGCATTAGTCCATAGAAAATTATCCTTCTTCAGCAATGCTGTTAAAGGTCGACTGATAAGACCATAACCTCTGATAAACTTCCTACGGTATCCAGCTAACTGAAGGAACCCTCTTAGTTGCTTCACAGTTGAAGGAGTAGGCCAGTTCTGCACAACCCCAATCTTCTTTGGATCACTAGCAACTCCCTATGCAGAGATAAAGTGGCCCATATATTCCACACTTGGCACTCCAAAAACACATTTAAAATGCTTGGCCAATAAGTTGTTGTGAACTATAATTTTAAAGACCTACATATGTAAAATGTGATCTTGCAAGTTCACACTGTAGATTAGAATATCATCAAAGAAAACTAGCACAAATCTCATTAGGAACTCTTGAAAGACTGATTCATCAAGCACTGAAAAGTGGAAGGAGTATTGGTCAAGCCAAAAGGAATGACCAAATACTCATAGTTCCCCATATGCATTTTAAATGTTGCCTTTGGGACATCTTCAGGAACCATCCTGATATGGTGATAACCAGATCTAAGATCGATCTTAGAAAAGATAGAAGCTCTTGACAATTCATCCAACAAGTCATCAATAATAGGAACGAGAAATTTATCTTTAATAGTGTAGTGGTTTAAGTATCTGTAGTCCACACATAACCTCCAAGTGCCATATTTCTTACCTACCACCACCACAGGGGAAGAAAAGGGACTATTACTATACTAGATGATCCCTTGTTGCAACATATCTTTCACCAGTTTCTCAATATTATCCTTCTTCATAGAGTAATACCTATAGGGTCTGATGTTGATTGGTTTGGTGCCATGTTGTAAGTGAATTCTACGGTCAAAGACACCTCTTTGTGGAGGTAATGCAGTAGGTTCTTAGAACACCTGCCTATAAGTTGTTAGCATGTCTCTGAGTGGCTGTGGCATTGGATCATCTTTAGGTAACTGTAAAGCAAGCTGTAGTCCATCACCCCCACAAGCAGATAATGATCCTCAAGAATCACATGTATCATGTACAACTGAGCACCATCACTTTGATACTTGTTGACAGCCTTGGAACTAGAAAGTTTACAATCCTCTAAAACTCCTTTCAAAAGATGTTATTTGCATTGGTAATCGAAGGTCATGGTTAAGGCCGAGTAGTCTATTGTAACTGGACCTAAAGTCTTCATTCATAAAGTTGCTAAAACCAGATCATATCTACCAACATGGAAGACTATGAGGTCTGATACATAAGTAGTACCTTCCAACATCCAATTAAAGTCCTTTACCACTCCAGATGTAGTTTCAGGAGTGTTGTTACCCAAGCTGGCATAACTTCACACAGTAGGAGTAACAATACATCCTAGCTTCTTTGTAGTTGCTGATTCTATGAAATTATGAGTGCTACCACCATCTAAGAGAATCTGAATGGGCCTTTTATCACTGTAACCTGTAACAAGAATGGTTTGTGCTCCTTGGATACTAGCTAAGGCACATATTGAAATGTGGGGATGTCCTTTTTCAGTAACAGTCCATTCCTCATGAGGTTTCTTAGCTTCAAAATTGTTGTCTCCTTCTTCTGCAGGCAGAGTATCAGATCATTCAAGCTCTAAGACAAACAATTATTTGGGGGGGTTGCATTTGTGGCCAGCAATATACTTCTCATCACAGAAGTAGCATAACCCCTGAGCCCTTTTTGTTGCATCTCAGCTGGTGATATATTCCTCCTATTCCTAGGTACCATGACAGTATTAGCAGCAAGTAATGCCAATCGAGGTGCATAATTAACTGCTGGGTAGTGAGTAATTTTAGGGCTTTGGTTATAAAAAGGACTCCTCCTAGTTGCAGAATAACCAGCTGAAATGTGCTTCTGAATTCTAGCATTAACAGCTAAAGTAGCTTCATCTAGCATGGCTAGCTTGCAGGTTTTAGCTAGAGTTTTAGGCTCGTTCATCATAATAGGGTTCACCAATTCCTCTTTCAAACCACCAAGGAAGCAAGAGCTATCTTGCTCAACAGTTAAGTTACATTGAGCTACCAACCTATCAAAAGCAAATTGAAATTCTCTAACAAATCCTGTTTGTTTCAATTGTTTCAACTTTAGCATAGGATCAGAGAAATCACCACTAAATGCTTCAATTAGTTCAGTAATATATTCATCCCATAGAGGTAACACAGGTAAATTCCGAGATTTGAGATAGGCTTGATGCCAGACTAATGCCTAATCATCGAGGTTCATAGCTACCAACCTCACTCTCTAATTTAGAGAAGTGTAATCTTCTGTAAAATACTACCCAATCCTATACAACCAGGTTTTCAAATTTTCCCCATTGAAGGAAAAAAAAGTTATGACCTTGATTTGTGTTAGCACAATAAGGATTGGGATCTAGGATGCCCTGACCTGATTGTAGCACCTTATCTCTAGCAGTCAAAGTAGAGGCATTGTCCTTTGATTGCTGACTCAATTGCAACCCATCGAATGCGTTTTTGAGAGAACTTACCATTTGAAGCAGATCAGTATAGCGTTTGTCTAAGTCATCCCTTAGTTCCTGCTGTTTTTGTGCCATTTCCTCCCGTAGATCGAGCCGTTGAGCTGCTAGATCTTCATATTGCTCTTGTAAATCCATGGGTTGATTACCCATCACTACATCAATAGCCCTGCATAGCCCCATCATTTACTGAGCTCTGATACTAATTGATACCAAATTGAGGTATCACTCCAATGCAATATTAAACAAGTAACAGAAATGAGAGAAGAAGAGGAGAATTTGAACGAGAAGGGTGCAGAATCAGAGAGAAAAAGAGAAGAGAGGAAGGAGTTCAATTCATATATCAATCTCGATGCCTTTACAATTGTGTTTCCTCCTATTTATAAGATTGAAATGAAACTAAAATGTTGAAATAAAGAAAAAGGAAAATACAGACATGCTAAATGTGTGACACAAACGATAACTACCTTTTCCGCTAAAACTAGTTTAACTAATTTCCAAATTGTAATGTGTTAGTATTAGCAAGGAGAGGACATGGAGAAGAATCTGTAATTTTGTAATTTGCTCTATTAATTTGTCTGAAGCATAAACACCGACTATATACAGTCCCAACTAACAATTATGTACTAACTTTCTAAAATAACTATAACATACCACAACTTTCACTATGTACACTAAGAACCATATTACTAACTAGTTGACTAATATTTGCATACACCAATACTCCCCCTCAAGCTGGAGGGTGTAGGATGTTCAATACTCCCAGCTTTCCAAGAAGAAACTGATGTTGAGATGATGCCAAGCCTTTGGTGAGGATGTCATCTTGTTGATTTTTAGTAGAAATATATTGTGTTTGTAAAAGACCTTATTTGAGTTTTTCCCAGATGAAATAACAATCTATCTCGATGTGCTTAGTGTGCTCATGAAAGATTGGATTGACAGTTATCTGCATTGCTGCTTTGCTGTTTGAGAACATGATAACAGGTTGATGAATTGGACTTCCCAGCTCTGCAAATAAGCCTCGTAGCCATACTATCTTATCTACAGCAAATGCCATACTTTTATATTTAGCTTCAGCACTGCTACGAGACACTGTGTGTTGTTTCTTGGACTTACAAGAGATTAAAGAGTCACCAAACTTAATAAGATAACCACTAACAGATATTCTGCTTATAGGACAAGCTGCCCAGTCTGAATCACAAAAACCAACCAAGGCATTAGCTGGCCTTCGTCTCATAATCACCCCCATTCCTGGTGCATGTTTGAGATATCTCACTATACAAATGGTTGCATCCATATGAGACTTCTTTGGGGTTTGCATAAACGGACTCAGAGTTTGTAGTGCATAACTGATGTCTGGTCTTGTAACTGTGAGATATAGGAGTTTTCCTATTAGCTTTTGATAGCTTGTGACTTCCACCAAAGGATCAGATACCTTGCTCTCGATTCCTTTGTCTAATTCCAATGAGGTGAGCTTCTGATTAAGTTCTAAGGGTGTAAGAGCAGGCTTTTCACCACTCAATCTCATCTCCTAAATAAGCTCTAAGGTTTACTTCCTCTGGTTAAGAAGGATTCCTTGGTGAGATCTCAATACTTCAATGCCTAGGAAGTATCTAAGCTCACCTTGATCCTTGACCTTGAACTGCTTGTGCAATATTGGTTTTGCTTCACTAATGAGTTCAATACTGCTTCTAGTCAAAAGTAAATCATCCACATAGATCAAAATGATCACAATCTCATTCCAAATTTCTTGGTGAATAAGGAGTAGTCATGTACACTCTGATTGAAGCCTCCACTGGGTAAGGCTTATGTAGGTTTAAGGTTCCACTGTCTTGATGCCTGTTTAAGGCCATACAGTGATTGCAACAACCTACAGGCCTTTGTCTCCCCTGTCTCTTGAAACATTGAGGCAAATCCATATAGACTTTCTCATATAAGTCACCTTGCAGAAAGGCATTGTATACATCCATTTGAAAAAGACCTCGGTCCTTAGAGGCTGCTAGTGCTATCATTGATCTGACTGTCACCATTTTTGCAACTGGTGAAAAGGTTTCATGATAGTCTAGGCCTTCTTGTTGATTATACCCTTTGTCAAGAAGTCGAGTCTTAAATCTTTTCACCTCTTCATTAGCCTTGTACTTGATTCTTTAGACCCATTTTGAACCTATAGAGGACTTCCTAGGGGGCAGATCCACCACCTCCTAGGTCTTGTTGTCCTCTAAAACTTCAATCTCCTGTTTCATAGCCTGTATCCATCTATCATCCTTCACTACTTCCTTGAAGCTGCGTGGTTCTGTGATTATTGTGAAGGCCATGATGTAATCTTTGTATTTCTGTGTGACATTGGCATATGATAGAAAAATTAATTTTGGATAAGAACAATGAGAATCCTTCTTACTACCAACAAGATAGTCTTGCATCCAGATAGAAGGATGCTTTATTCTAGTTGACTGCCTAGTGAGGACAGCTGGAGCACGTTTAGCTGGTGCCTCTGGTTCCAGAATTACTAGATCAACATCACCTGGTACATCAGCTTGATCAACTACACCTGTGATATCTGCTTGATCTGCTACAAGATAACCATCACCTGGTACATCTGCTTGATCTGCTACACCCCCATCATCACTATCTACATCATAAATTGTATCTGCTTGATTGGGTTCCTGGCTTGTTGAATTTGATAGATCTTGATCCATAGTAATCATCTCTTCCCTTTGTAATGTCTCAAAGACATCAGCTATGTGATTTGAGGATTAATAAGTAGGAACAGACTGTTGTTGTTGTGCTGTGATAAAAGGAAATATGGATTCCTTGAATATTACATCCCTGCTAACAAAGAAAGAGTTAGTATCCCTGTCAAACAGTCTATAACCCTTCTGGGTGGTGGAATATCCCATTAGAACAACTTCCCTAGCTCTAGGTCCAAATTTATCTTCATTCACCCTATTTGTAGCATAGCACAAACAACCAAAAGTTATTAAATGTGCTAGTGAGGGTTATCTACCATGCAGCAACTCAAAAGGACTCTTACCACCTATCACTCTAGTAGGAAGTCTGTTTATAAGATAAACAGCTATTTGCACACATTCCCCCCAAAATTTGCTTGGTATTCCAGCCTGAAACTTAAGTGCTCTAGTAGTGTCTAAGATGTGTCTATTTTTTCTCTTAGCCACCCTACTCTGTTGTGGGGGTGTGCATACAACTACTCTGGTGAATTACCCCATGAGCTTGTAAAAAAATATTTCACTGCTGATTAAAGAATTCTTTGACATTATCTGTCCTAACCATCTTAACACAAGCTCCAAACTGAGTCTATACCATGAAAAAGAACTATTTCAGAAATATGATTGTTTCACTTTTCAATTGCATAAGAAAAACTCCAAGTTGCTCGAGTATAGTCATCCACAATTGTAAGAAAATAATATTTATTATCAAGCATAGAAACCTTATTGGGCCCCCATACATCCATGTGAACAAGCTAAAAGGGCTTAGTACTTAGGTGCTCACTAATAGGAAAATTCAATATATGTTGCTTAGCCAATGGACAGATAAAATATTTATTTTGTACTGTACTATCTACTTTATTTTGCAAGAAAGACACATGTTGCATCATTGGCAATAAAAGATGTACTAATCTCCTGTGTCAAAGCTCCCCTGAATCTTTATTCTTCTCCAATGAATTGATAGGAGCAACTATTTGTTCTGTTCTTCTTCCTCTTATCAGATATAATCCACAAATTTTCTTACCAATCCCCTTCTCCCTGTCACTGTAAAGGTCCTGAAAGACACACAGTTTTGGCAGGAAGAGAGCACCACATTGTAAGTACCTGGTTAACTTTGAAATTGACATTAAGTTAAACTTAAAGTCAGGAACATACAACACATTTTTCAGTTTAGTATCTTCTGAAATTTGTATACTACCAATATGTGTAACATCAGTACTTTCTCCATTTGGTAATCTCACCCTTTCTCTTTAACAACTATCTACAAGTGAATATACTATGTGGTGTGTGGCCCCTGAGTCCACTATCCAATTGTCATTATAGACACTTGACGCAAGAGACACAACATTACTTGCCATATTAGCTTGTGTCTGATTGTCAATGTGTGAATCCTTATTGAGAAAGTGAAGTATCTGCTGGTACTGTTCCTCAGTGAAGAAAAAATCCTCTTTTTGTTGTGCTACTCCCTGTGTATTAGAAGTTGCTGGTCCTTGCACATTGTTGACTGCAGTGAAAGGTCCTTTAGTCCTATTATCTCTAGTCTGATTTCCATCATTGCTTTGAAATCTTCAGGATAATCGATAATTTTAAAACAATTCTAAACAATTCTCCTTAGTGTGATCTTTCATATGGCAATGTTCACATTGTAGAAATTGCTTCTTCCATCGAAAACCTTGACCTATTCCAACTTGTATTACCATATGATCCACCTTTTCTGCCATTGCACTACCACCCATAGATTGTTGGCTTTCATCTTGTGTGATCATTGCATATGCTTGGTTAAGTGTAGGTTCAATCGTCTTCATCAAAATCTGTCTTCGAACTTGGTCATAGGTATCATTCAAGCCATCCAGAAATTATATCAACCTCTGTTGATGTAAATGCACAATATATTCCATTGATTTCACACACCCACAGTTTAGGGAAGGGACAAGTACGTCATATTCAGCCCACAGCTCCTTCAATTTTGTGAAATACACAGCTACAAAGTCAGATCCCTACGACAATCTCGAGATTCCTCTATGTAATTGAAAAATCCTCACTCGAATCACCTTATCAAATCGCTCCTTAAGATCCTCCCATACTGCATGTGCACCTGATGTATAAATGATTCCACTCAGTAAATCCTTTGATAAAGAGTTCATAATCCACGAGTGCACTATCACATTGCAAGTCTCCCATTCCTCATGGAGATCATCTTCAAATGAAGCTTTAATGCACGTTCCAGTAATGAGCCTTAATTTACGCTTTGCTTTGAGAGCAAGGCGCATAGATCTACTCCACATGCCATAGTTTTCAGATCCTGTGAGTTGGATTAGAATTAACACCAATCCTAGGGTGTCGGAGGGTTGTAGGAACAAAGGATGAGAGTTATCAATCTTAGTTTTCTCCGCCATTGATGAGTGACCTCAAATTCAACTCAATTACACAATCAAAGGAAAACATCAACAAAATCAAACCAATTTTACAGAAATTTTATCGATCTGTCGGGAAGTGAAGAACATAATGACGAACTTCAACTTAGAAGAGATTAAGAGAAGATCTTACCGAATTGAGCTTCTGAATCCATGAATCGTTCTTCACAAGCTCTGATACCATGTAAAAATTAGCAAGGAGAGAACATGGAGAAGAATTTTTAATTTTGGAATTAGCTCAATTAATTTGTCTGAAACATAAACACCGACTATATACAGTCCCAACTAACAATTAGGTACTAACTTCCTAAAATAACTATAACATACCACAACTTTCACTATGCACACTAAGACCCATATTACTAACTAGTTGACTAACATTTGCATACACCAATATAATGGCTAGTATTTGTATCACTATGCCACTAATAATATTCCAAGTCCACTAATTTTATATCATGAATTTGACTCCGAAAGACATTCTTTGTCAGTAAAACGTTAGTTCGAATTTATTTTTAAGGGTTGGGGTTGGGGGGAAGTTAGTAAACAGACTTCTAAGCAAGAAAAGGACATTTAAAGGTAGTCGTTGTCCAAATCCTTGCGAATATTACTTATTAAGAGAGGTTTAACCTAATTGGACAGCTAATTCGAACATATGCATATTTAAACACATAAGCAAAGTGATGCATGCCTTGTATGGGTCTTTTCTCTCATCATAATTGACAGTGACAAAGATGAAGTTTTTTTCGATTTATCAGTTGCACTCCTATCTTTGGATAGGGAGGTGTGGAGGTCGAGCATTCGGATTGTAGGTTAGGGGGTAGTTGAGCATTTTTCCAACTAGTCTGATAGAGTTTGGTCTAGGTCTGCTAGCGGTTGTTGTTCATCACACGATTTTTATTTCCATAATTTATTTTTTAATTTTATTATTGACATACTTATAGCCCTTCCACTTATTTGTTGTCTCTTACGGTGCTGATTCTATTTGTCTGATTTCTGTGTTATTACAGATCTTTTGTTTCTGAGCCGAGGGTCTCCCGGAAACAGCCTCTCTACTCCCGGGTAGGGGTAAGGTTTGCGTACACTCTACCCTCCTCAGACCCCACTAGTGGAATTACTACTAGGTTGATGTTGTTGTTACTCCTATCTTTGATGTCGATTTGACAATCTAACTTTTAGAGCTCCTATCTTTTTTACAGAAAGTGAAAACGGTCTAATAGCTCTTTCTTGCTCATAATTAAGCATTTTTTATTTCCAAAAGTTAATCTAACCTTTATTTTCCTAATAACTGATATTCTATATTGCATTCCCTAAAAAAAAAAAGACATTAAATGTAATATTCAGAACCAGTCTTGAAGTGAATGAATTAGAAAGAACTACAATTGAAAATA